TCTGTACTCCTTACTTCTACACTCCATAGCCGCCCGGTTGGCAAAAACGTTGTGAATTGAATCGCACACAACACACATTGAGCACGTGTAAGTGTAGTTGTATGCGCGTACGTGTCTTATCAGTTGTATTTTCAAAAACTGCAATAACGTTATATATCTTTATTTACATATTTGAATTTAAAAATAAAATTTGGATAAGTACTCTTTGAAAAATAACTCTGTATATAAAGATTATAAAATATATCAATACTTACCATAGCGTTTATGTAGTAGTAGTTCTTTTTTACGTTACTATTATTGTTTGATTCGATTTTTAATAGTTTAGCTAATTATATGTATTAATAAAATAAAAGGAATTAACAATTATAGGTCTTTAAATATAAAAATATTAGTATAAAATTCCAAATAAGTTTACTTTAGTTACACTGATGCTTGTGAATATATATTCATATATTAAAACAAAAGACATGATAGTACATTTAATGACAAACATTCTTATAGACGGTTAATTTTTAATTATAATTTAATGTGATTTGATTTAAGACAAGTCATTAAAACAGGCTCTGTGGTGTATGTATTGGTTTTGAGATGGTGGCAGCATAGTTAATGGTGTTTGTAAGATATATATTTCGAACTGAAGAAGGTAATAACTGCATTTTAAATTAAGTATGATAGTTATACTTCCTAATACAACCAATAATTGTGTTTTATATATCAGCAACACAGGAATAGTTTATGAGTGCAGAATGATTGTTCTTACTGTACTAGTAAGAACAATCATTCATCACGAAAATGTGGTAAGAATACCTGTTTGTCCGCCAATTTGAGCTGTGTTGCCAATTTCGTTTAACAAACATATTATTTTACTATTTGTTACCTGTATGTATATTGTATATAGTTGATGGCAAAGAAAACATATAATATTATGTTCCAAATTCGTTTTTTATGTATTAAAGAAGAAAGGCTATTATAAAAACAGCTTCACCTATTACTACTCACTTATAGTATTCTGCCCCTTAATATAGCATACATCATTGTAGTATCGTAGGCAACCCCAACTGGAGTAGTTTGGCTGATTAAATGATTTAAAAATTACACAAATTGACATGTAAATATTGGAAACCACCTTCATTCCCTTCATTTAACTTTTATCGTCTATTTTCTTTTTCGATTCCCATAAAAACACTTTGTGGTGCTGATGATGTTCGAAAGTTTCTTAAAGATTATTTAATCTTTATAATGATATCTAAATTTTTATATATCATTACATATTTAGAAATGAGAAGTGGGCACAGCAGAGGGATGTAATATGTAGACTGTTGTTTATAATATATAACATTACATAATATATAATAAAACATATAATACTAAATTATATTAAAAATATAATAGCAATCCAATTATATCATCCTATTGGTTCATCGCGTGTTTGTTTACATAATAGTCTGCAGGTTCCACTCCGTCATTCGACGATTTCTAGCAGGGATGTAGGCACATTCCTAAGGATGAAATTTTACCGAAATGCAAGAAAGAGATTGTGAATTATGTGCTGGTTTATGAATTTTTTTGCTTTTTTGAAATAGTATTTAACTAAAATGGGATTAATTCTTTTGCGTTTTTAGGTAAATATAATAAGTGAATTTTTATCGTTAAGTTTATTCAAATAATTTTAAGTAATTCCTTACGGAATTCGCCGTATAGATTCGTGCAATGCAATAATTCAAAGGCTTGTTATTGATGTAAGTAAAATATTTCGTGGAAAGCCACAATTTGGTAATATTTGCTTACATAATAATTTAAATCCGAATATAACAATTTTTATTTATAGAAGATATTCAATAAGAACTTTTTTCTTTAACAAATTCGAAGGATTTCTATTGATGTAAATAAAATATTTTGTGTAAAGTCAAAATTTGCTGATATTTGTTTTCATAATTTTAATCCAAATGTTTTATATAAAGTACATAGTTATTTATGATTTCTTTATAAAATTTTATAATTGATTTGTAAGGCAGTGTTTGTAACATTCCATGATTATATCAAAATACCACACTAAAACTCAGTACAAGGGTTCCATTTTAAAACCCAGCCAGCAGCTTGGTAAGAAACTATATCATAATCATCTAAATTAAAGAAATATATTGGATACCTTTAAAGAGAAATTACAAAAATATGGAATAGTTTGGTAACACTGCAGCAGAATTATAGAATATGATACATGCTTCATTTTATGTTATATTTTTGAATTGTTACATGTTTGTAAAGTTGACTCATTTGTAAAAATTGCATACTTTTGAACAAATAATAAAATAATTGATTTATTATGTTTAAATGTTTCATTTAGTGCCTTTCCAGTGAGCATACAGAGCAGACGTGTCGCAAAGTAATTTAATAATTCATTAATTTTAGTGAAGCAAAATCCAACCATCGCGCTTAAACATTATAAATTACTTTGGCATCACTCAAGCTAGAACTGAATTATTAATTATTTCAAAAACGTGCGCAACGGGCAGCAGCTCCCTTCCTCACACCCGCGGGTAAGGAGCACAGTTGCATTTTTCATCTCTTACACCCACGAAACTCATTGCGTGTATAAACACTCCCGCACATCCTTATTGAGAGTAAATAAGCAACATTTTCAATTAACAATGAGCGTAATGAGTTCTCCAACAAAAACAGGCGGTTCACAGCCAGATCTAACCAAACTGCGTAACTCAGATACTAAATAAACTACAGTGCGTAAGCGTAAACAACCAGATACGGACTGCAGTTGCGTCAAAAATATTACAGATTTAAAGGGTGATATTTCAAACTTATTGAATGAATTTACACAATCTCAAAATGCGCATATGATTTTATTGCGCGAAGATGTTGCTCAGATTAAAACTCAAATGGAAAACATACGAATCACTACGGAATACCTAGTTACAGAACACAGTAAAATATTAGATGAGATAAACGATTTAAAAAATGAAAAAACCCTAACTGAGCAAAAATTAAAACCCTTGAAAATGGAATAGATACTTTGAAATGAGAGGCACGTACGGAACCTATCAATTCACTACCGATAAACCTACGTGAAAATCTTATACGTGAAGCTAATGAGAGATCTAACAGAGAGAAAAATATTATAATTGTTAATGTTCCCGAATTGCATGGATCAGTTAGGGAAGAAAGGTGTTTACACGATGAAAAGGAGGCATTCAATATTATTAGCGATATCACGAAAACTATTCACACTCCAATAAAAACATCACGGATCGGAAAATACAAAATAATCAATAACCCTTCGATGAAAGTCTATCTGGATTCATCAGCGACCGCAAAAGAAATACTGAGAAATAAAAATAAAATAACAAACAAATATATAAAAATATTTTCGGACCAGACCCCCTCGCAACAATTGTACATGAAGAAGCTTAAAAACAATGTAAGGTGCACTGGGGTAATTCCGAAAAAGGGTATATTCCGAAAATTCAAAGATTCTACTAATCGTAGCGATATTTTCCTATTGGCAGCATTGGTTTAGACGCCATATTGATTATCCTCGCCGCATCAGTCGTCGTGAGAAGCTAGTGTCAACATAACGTGCGTAGCATCAAGTTTTGTCAAAAGAGTGTTTTTCGCGCCATTTTTGTTGATTCGCAATAACCCCAACATATTTATCTCGGAATTCTGGTAAGTTATTTCAATAAGTGCTTGTTTTTGCCATACGTTATAGTTTTTAGCGAATTCGTGACAGGAAAACAACGTACTAGCTGTGTTTTCAGTATTTTTTCGTACATACCCCTCTGGGGTGATTCCGATGTATAACCATTCCGCAATAACCCCACTTAGTTTTTCCATAGAAATTGACAGTGATTCTCAATCTGTACGATCAGATGATTTGCAAGACATTACATGAAGTATGCAAAATTTTATTATTATTTCGAAGTTTGTTGGAAAACTTGTGTTTATTGTAGATAATGATTCTATATTACTAATCATTACTTATTAACCGACCTCAAAAAGAAGGAGAGTTTTCTAATTCGACTGTATATCTGTTTTGTGTGTATTTTACTCGAATTCTTCGGCGATTATGAACCGATTTTAATTGTTCTTTTTTTTAATTGGTAGAGGAAACGGACGTTGTTCCATATTTTAATAATTTTGGTTGAATTGTTTTTAAAAATAACTGCAACAAATGGGTTAATAAGCTTCAATAAACGACATTTAATTTACTTCGCCTATGAATTAATTAACAGCAAAAAGTGGTATGTGGAAGTCACTCCAAATAGAAAAATAAAAAAGTTAATACCGTCTTCAAAAAAGAACACAATAATGTGTGTGAGGCAGTTTCGAAATTCGTTACCCAATAAACCAAATCAAAGAATCAACTTCGAGCATCTACTTCCTAAACTGTTTCACACATATTGCGTTCTTTTTGAAGGCGGTTTTAACTTATTTTAAAGTTTCTGTTTTAAATAACATTGTAATTTAAAATTAATGTATTCCCAATCCTTCGGGAAATACAGGTGTGACGTATATGTTAAGTAAGTAGGTACTTATTTCTTTTTCAGAGCCATTATGCCTCGGACTTACATAAGAAAGAAAATTAAATCATACACTCCACAAGATTTAGCTCAAGCGATCGCAAAGGTAAAAAATGGAGAACTTACGCAATATAAAGCAGCGCAAGAGTACAAAATTCGAATGACGACTCTTCATGAAAACTTAAAAAAAGGTAAAGAAACTACCAGACCAAATGCAGGTAGACCAACCGTTATACGCCTAGAAGATGAGAAAAAATTAGCAGAAACTGTCAGAATTATGGAAAAATGGGGACATGGTCTGTCTAGGTTTGAAATTATGGAGCTTGTCGCTGAATATGTGCGGGTGAATAAGATTCAAACACCATTTAAAAATAATGTCCCAGGCACAGACTGGTTCATTAATTTCCGGAAACGACATAGATTATCAATTAAAAAAAGGCACAGCCTGTAGAATTTGTAAGAAGAAAAATGACAGATCCATTCGTCATTGGTGAATATTTCAATTTGCTCGAAAATACTTTAAAAGATTTGAATCTTTTTGAAAGTCCCCAACTCATTTGGAACTTAGATGAAACGTCTTTATGCCTGGATCCATCCAGAACTAAAGTATGTGGACAAATAAATAAACCTTGTGCGAGGTCCACCTATGGGAGTGGAAAAGAAAATATCACTATGTTGACAGGCGCAAGCGCTAATGGCAAGAAGTTGCCGCCTTTGATTGTATTTAAAGGCAAATTTGTTTGGGATCAGTGGATGGCTGAACTGGTTGGTGGTGATTACGATTTCGAATTATCGTATGCAGCCAGTACTAAAGGGTGGATGGAAACAGACATTTTCTATAATTATATAGAAAAAGTTCTTATCCCAAGTTTGGGCGAGGAGCGCCCGGTTCTCATTGTTTGTGATGGTCACTCAACTCACGTCCATGTAAGAGTTGTGGAACTGGCAATACGAAACCGTATCACAATTCTTAAACTACCGCCATACACATCACATTTGCTGCAGCCTCTTGATATAGCAGTATTCAAGTCATTCAAGTCAATATGGAATGCCAAACTGGTAGAGTGGCAGCGTAGAAATGTTGGCACGAAAATGCCAAAAAAAGTTTTCGCTCAAGCGCTGGCAGATACTTGGAGAGAAACAAACCCCAATATTATCAAAAGTGGATTTAGAAAAGCTGGGATTTTCTCTTTCAATGCGCACGTGATACCTGTGGACAAATCTGATCCAGATGCATCTAAAAGGTACCAAAAAAAGACATTAGAAGAACATACAAAACATCCGAAGTCACTACAAGAAATTTGTATTGGCTTGTTTAACAATCAACTTGCAACAACAAATGATGCTCTTGAAAATGCAAATACCGATGACGTTACCTTGCTGTCGCAAATTTCAAAGTCCAGTATCCAAACTTTGAGTTTTGTGGCCAGACAGCCAACCCAACTACCTGCATGTTTACAGAAATCGTCAAACACTGATAAGGATACCTTGTTGTCTCTGGTATCGAAACCTGATATCCAGACTTTGAGTTTTGTCGCAAAACAACCATCCCAAATACCTATATGTTTACAGAATTCTAATCAAACATCAACTCAAAATTTATCAAAAATAAAAATAATCTCGAACGTTATCATCAAAAAAGCACCTCCACAGTTACTTCAACGACTACCTGAGCCATCATGCACATTCGAGGAACTGCTTTTAAGAAAAATACAACAGGACAAAAAGATAATAAACCGACAAAAAAGAAACGTGTCACTAAAGGTGCTGAAGTGATAACAGCAACAATGGGTAAGAAAATTTTAGAAGAAACGGTAAAAGCTAAGAAAGCGAAAGCAAACCCCAGTAAAATATACAAAAAAAGAACAGCAAAAGTAAAAAATAAGGAAGATTCTGAAATAACAATATTTACAGCACAGCAACAAGAACATCATCCAGGCCCTTCAGGCATAAGGAATAAGAAGAAACGAAAACGCCAGCCTTCACTTGACAGCATAACTAGTGTATCAGACATTGATGATTGATTGATTGATGATTGATTTAAGTGTAAGACAATAATATATGTAGAAAGTTTATTGTATTTTGCAAAAAGCACTGAATAAAAGGTATCTTTATAAAAATCTCTACCTATGCTTTATTTCTTCAAGTATCTACAGTTTCAGCTCATCTTAATTGACCGTTAAATTTCATAAGAGCATTAACCCCTGCTAAAAGCAACATGTTTGTCTCTTTGGTAATGTACAAATTTTTAATAATACTCAGTCATTTTATTCATTTTTATCAGGATTAAAATAATAATATTAATTTATAATAATAATTTAAATTATTAAAACATAACAACATTATTAAATTATATAATCATTTATACTACTTGTTCTATTCCGCGCAGAGATCTGTCAGAACTATCAATTATTGTCAACTCACTTCTACGGCAACTTCGATGACAACTGTGACATTTTTTCTCGTTTGTCACCAGTGGAAATAAAATTACTGGCAATAAACTGGGTGACAATTACTGAGAATAAACAAAAAAACTTAATTGAAATGTTGAGAACCACAATCTCTTCTAGGGGTAATTCCGAAATACAAGACCATAAAAAATGATATTAGCGATACTATTACTAAAATTCATGATATTTTGTGTAAGGGTTAAATACGATTGAAAAAGAAATGTAAGCCTTCGGTCAAAGTACAATAAAATAAACTTTTGAATAATTTTGGAATAACCCCAAGATAGTTCGTAATTTCCCCTATACCAAAAAATTATAACTCAATAATTCAAAATGCTCTATTTAGTGAATCCAACTACATAGTTATGAATCTAATATATCCATAGATTAAATATTTTCATTAAGTTAACAGAAGTCGCATACTATTGTCAGTAAATATGAAGTTACTTTACCTAACTAATCGAAATATAGACCTCTAGTCATCTCGTAAAAATTTCCGTCGGAATTACCCCAGTACACCTTACTTAAAAGGCAACAGAATGGTGAATCAACCTTATAATAAAATACATCAACGAATATCCAAAAATTGTTTCATCTTCAAAAAACTAAAAGTCCCACTACAATGTCTACAACCTACCCTACTTAATAATAAAGAACATGAACAAGATAACACATACGAAATAATAGACACATATGATAATATCAAAACACTACGAACTTCTCTGAACTTTTTCTACTCCAATTGTTCGACCTGGTAAGCTCGACGAACTAGAATGCATTATTAAATCCATTGCTACGCCGATACACTTAATTTTACTAACTGAAATATGGATAAAAACAGAACAAGAAGCAAACAGAATACAAATACCAAACTATACTCATTACTATAACTACAGAGTAGCTACCAACGGAGGTGGAGTTTCCATTTTCATACATAACGATATAAAGCATAGCCAAAGTGAGCATAAATATGCTCACAATAACAATTATCTATGGATTACACTTAACAAACTTAAAATAGATGTCGGACTTGTATATAAATCTGGGGACTAATATTAATGATTTTCTACAAGATTTTGAATCACAATTACTACACAGAAAGAGAGCTGTTGTGTTCGGTGACTTCAATCTAGATTTACTTACGGTTGACAAAAACACGAAAAGATTTATGAATGTAATATGCGAATCTGGTTATACTATTTTAAATAAAGTAGAAAAAGAATACGCTACTCGTACAACAGCAACCACAAATACTATCTTAGATCATGTGATTTCAAACCTAAGAGACAGAAGCTTTTACTTAGCTAAACATGATTCGTCAATATCGGACCATAAACAAATTTTTGTAGGAATAAAGAAATTTAAACCAGTCCCACCACAATGAGTAAAATATGAAGCTATTAATTATGATCTTTTGTACAAATATAGCGAGGAAGAGTTTTGTGACACTAGAAATAATAGCAAGGAGTTTTACAATCTTAATAAGTCAATAAAAAAATAACTAAAAGTAAAATCAGTAAAATAAAAATACAAATCCCACCCCAAAATGATTGGATAAATATTAAAATTATTAATAGCATTAGCAACATTTTAGAAATAAACTTTGGCAAAAACTTAAAAAATGCGCGAATAACGAAAAAGAAAAACTCATAAAGCTACATCAAAAAGCAAGAAATGAAGTAACAAGACTCATAACTAAAACAAAAAGTGAGTACTACATACTATAATTCATTTAATATCTGTACAAATAACCCTAAAAAATGTGGAGGCTTATTGAAACCCTAACAAAAAATAAAATAAAAACGGATAATATTCCCCCAAAACTAAAAACTTGTTTAGGAGAAATAACAGACGGAAATCGTATTTGTGTAGAATTTAATTTATTTTTCGCAAAAATTGGATCGGTCTTAACTAACGAGATACCACAGACTTTTTCGGAGGTAAATAATTTATACATTTTTAGTAACAAACATAAAAATGCAATTAATGAACTATCAAATTTTCAAAAATGTGACGAATATGAAGTGGCTAAAATAATTGACCAACTAGACCCTAATACGAGCTCGGGAATAGATGGCATTACAACAAAGGTAGTCAAGTGTATTAAGGACTTAATTCTTACAAGGCTTACTTCTTGTATAAATTATTGTCTTGAAAGCGGAATATTTCCAGATGAACTTAAAACGGCTAAAGTCACACCTATATACAAATCGGGTACAAAAAGTGACCCCAGTAACTACCGTCCTATCTCTGTCTTACCAGTAGTTTCCAAAATTTTTGAAAAAGTTATATATAACCGCTTAAATAAATACCTAACATCAATTAACTTTATTTCAAACTGTTAGTATGGTTTCCGGCCTAGGTCAAATACCTTAGCCGCAACGGTAGATTTAATTACCAAAATAAAAAAACAACATTGATGCAAAAAACTTAGGGCTTGGAATTTTTATTGACTTAAAAAAGGCGTTTGATTCAATAAGTCACTCACTACTGTTAAAGAAACTTTCTCATATACCTTAACGGCCATGCCTTAAAAATTTTTGAAAGTTATATAAATAAAAGATATCAAAATGTAAAGATTGGTCACTGTCAAAGTTCAACACAACCCATTACGTACGGTATTCCCCAAGGCTCTATATTGGGCCCACTTCTTTTCCTGATTTATATAAATAACATAACTGATCTTAAATTAAATGGCAACATTTCTTTATATGCAGATGGTACCTGTATTTTCTACTTTGGGCGTTCCATAGATGAGGTTATCGCACGAGCCCAAGTAGATCTAAATATAGTACATAAATGTTTCCAATCCAATTTGCTTACAATAAATACATCAAAAACCTCGTATATGATATTTAAACCCAAAAACCCCTAAAATAATCCCCTCATAATAAAAAGTAAGTGGTTAGACAAGGTTGCTGTTAAAGTTGCTATTATTTGTGTTACTCGTAATAATGTTTATTTTATAACTTTTTTAGAATTATAGCTGATTTACACAGGGACAGTAACTGGCTCTAAATTCGAGGAAACTCAGTGCTGACCGGCTACTGGCATAATAAAAATAGTAATAAATAATAATAATCTTTATTTGTAAGAATATGGTTGTACAATGGTGTTCGAGGAGTATAATTTGTTCTACATATTCTACCTCAGTGGTGTGCAAATATGTATATTGCATATTGCATAATGTATATATATATATATTGACCTTGTCTGAACAACCAAGTACGTTTACCAATTCTATAGCTAAGTTAGTCAATTGGTTTAATGTTAATAATTTGCATTTAAATGGTACTAAAACTAAATGTATGATATTCGTAACTCCTACAGCCCTATTAATAAACACAGACTTGAGCAAGATTAACTTTACTCCTAGTTTAAAGCTTAAAATACCTAATTTCAGTATTAATAAACATAGAGTAAGGAGGGGTTTCAATAGGGGATAAACTAATCAGAATCTACTCTCGGAATAAAAGTTAATCCTTGGCGGTACCTAGTTTAACGACTGAGTAAGCATAGACTAGTCGCGTATTTTGACATTTTGTAAAACTTTACGTTGTTAAATTCGTAAGTTGTAAGCACTAGTAACAAAATGAGCATAATGGATTAAAATGCCAAGAAGTGATGTGGAGCAGAACAAAGTGATTGCAGGTTTTTATTCATTATATGAATTTAGATAAGTGATTGGAGCTATTGATTGCTACATATTCTAATCCCGAAAGTCGCTGGAAACATCGGACAATACTACATAAACAGGAAAGGATACAGTTCAATAAATGTACATACAAGTAAGTTGTATAGTACCTAGCTAGCCCATCTTTGCCATATAGGTTGGTTGCGCGGAAAACCATTCGTATTTTAATTTTATTCGAGGGTTAGCTTGCCAAGCGTTGTCCTTTCCTTCACCTATCGTTCCTCCGACACACCGGGGTGGTGGGGTGAGAGGGGAAAGAAGATAATTCTAGAATGTCGCGTATTTCTCACAACCAATGAGAAGCGCGCCTCCCCCCCCCCGAGACGCATTGAAAGAAGGACCGAAGCAATATAAGCGCGCGCACGGCCCTCGTGCGCTCTCTTGCCTTTGCGCCGCTAGTTGCAACCATACCGCCTGGGACATTCGCGTCCTAGAGGGCTCTTGCCTACGCGCACCGCTAGTTTCAAACCGCACCAACCTGGAGCAGTCGAGCTCCAGGAGTAACCGCCTCACCTAGTGTGAGATATCGTTGCGCTCTCTTCCATCGCACCACCGGCCAGGACCGCATCCCTGTGGCCCCAGGAGATCCGCCAGAAGTAGCACCGCAGCAACGGAAGCGTCCAAGCCGCATC